TTTTTTTCTTTGAATGATTACAATTTAAGATAGAAGGGGATATTTGCATAGTATTACTATAATTTGAATCGTAATACTAGTCAAGGCATTAGATGCACTAATTAACTCGTCTATAAGGTTTGATGCAAATAGAAATAGTATATATTCATTTAATGAAATGTAATTACTATGACATTTTTATAAAATAAATTTGTAGATTTGTATGTACTTTGATTTCACTTTGTGAATAGAACATGTTAATGATAATATCAAATGGCATATAATAAAGTAGATACGAATTTGATTCCGAAAAGCTAATAAAGTAAAAGCAGGTTAAAGTATTCTCCAATCTTCTTCTTGTTAATGTAAACAATGAAGGAATTGGTAACACCAAACCTTAACCAGGACATGGTAAGTTGGCATCTTGACTAGGACATGGGTTGGAGATTTTTTCCTTTTTTTGAACATATTACAAATTGGGTTTTTTGAACATATTACAAATTGGGGATCGTGCGAATCAAACCTAATCCAAAGATCTGGGAGTGCATATATTAAGAGTGACAATAAAAATCGAATATAGTTTGAAGATCTAAGAGTACATCTATTAAAGGTGATAAAGCTAGTAAATCGGTAAGGTTAATTGCTTTTTTTGAGCTTGAAGTCTTGATATATTGTCTACTTTATCTCGTGAACCTCACAATTTTGATCAGATGAGTTTTCATAGTGGACATGAATTGGAGATTTTCTTTTTTGAATACTTTACAATTTTAAGAAATTGGAAAAAGGTATTTTTTAATGTATTGATAAGATTTTAAATTCTAATCAACTAATTCAAACACTTTAAAACTTGAAGATGAATTACTTAAACTTAAAAGTTAATTCAGATATGAGTTGGAGATTGAGATAGTGATTAGCATGATTTCACATTTTATATTGGACAAGGATTCCAATCTAGAAAGGGCGAACAAGGGAAACTGCATCCAGCTATTATGATAGGTGAACCTTTTGGGTACATTCCAGGTCTGTTTGGTTGGGAATTTGTGATGTGTACTTGCAGCTAATCATTTTATGTTAGCAAATCACACGTTGATACACTTCCATCTAAGGCTGAACAAATGACTTGGTTAATTAAATGGATAATTAAAAATTGATAAAAGAGTAATTAAATAGTTAAATACAAATGATTAGTATTTTTTTAATTTTGATTGAATAATCAGAAAATTTAATTGATTGATGATTAGAAGGTTAGAAAACCGAAGCTGAATATGTATCTAAAAATTTAAATTTTATATTAATAAATAGATAATAGTTATTCAAATATTATAAATAAATATAAAAATTATCTTATTGAATTTCAGTTTT